AATGTGCTTCAGATAGATTTTAGTCGCAGTTCTGGTAGCAGACCGATCTTAGCCGTCTAAATGCTTTCAACTAGCGCTTCTCAGCATGTCCTGTCGATTGGCGTACATCTCAGCTCGGCATCTAGCCTGCACGTCGATTTCCACACAGAAAACCAACATCATCTCTCACAGAAAATTGCAAGAGTGCAAGTAGCTGTTCAATTAGAGCTCTGCTATCACGCGAATCTCAGGCGCCTCGATACTAGAGATGATTTCCTGTTGAGCAGCGTGCGTCCCAGCTCCCTCGCCTGCCAACAACTCGATGAAGTACAGAAATCAAACAGCGTCTAATAAAAATGAAAGGGTGCAAATGACTATTGGGTTGCAGCTCTGGTAGCAGACCGATGCCAGGCGTCTAGACACTTGAGACTGGCTCATCAGCATCCCCCGTCGATTGCTGTGCATCGCAACTCCTTAGCTGGGCTAGATCTCGAATTCAATTCAGGAAACGCACATCCTCTCGTAAATTATTTGCAGCGCTAATAGTTTTGAAGTTGCAGCTATGGTTGCAGGCCGAATTCAGACGTCTCGATACTGTAGGCGGATGTGTATGATGACTTCCTGTTTCGAAAAGTGCTTCCCAGCTCCATAACCAGCCTACAGCTCGAATAGACTGGAAAAACGAGCATCACCTCTTAAAACATTAACGGGGTACGAATAATTGTCTGGTCCCAGTTCTGATAGCAGACCGATCTCAGGCATCTAGATACTTCAAACAAGCGCTCCCGACGATTGCCTTTCGATTGCTCTGCCGAACAGCTCTCTAGCTCATCTAGAGCTCAACCTATGTTGAGAAAACCGACTGCATCTGTCAAGATGACACTGAACAGCCGATCCCGCCTGAGTGCTTTTTGATAGTAATATCCATCCAATCGACCTGAGATCAAGAGGGCGAGCGGGAATCACATCGAAAATGGAGGAAGTAAATACTAGAACTGGAAGCCGGCGGTAAGCCGTCAACCTCGGCTACCGCCGGGAACTCGTAGAGCGCCCTCGCGATATACATGAATGGCACGCGAGCGCAGCAATCTCGCATTCCGCGCGCGCGCGAGGGCGCGGCTTCATAGAAGTGCGCTTCACCGCTCCTTGCTTCCACAGCTCGAGTTCGTCTCGATTCCCTGTGGTCGGGTCTAGTTTTTCCCTGGTCGGATCTAGTTCTCCTCTGGTCGTGTCTAGTTTTCCCCTGGTCGGATCTAGTTGCCCTCTGGTCGGGTATAGTTGTCCTTTGGTCGGGTCTAGTTTTTCTCTGGTCGGGTCTAGTTTTCCCTGTGGTCGGGTCTAGTTTTTCCCTGGTCGGATCTAGTTTTGCTCTGGTCGGGCCTAATTTTCCCCTCGTCGGGTATAGTTGTTCCGTTGGTCGGGTCTAGTTGTTCCCTGGTCGGGTCTAGTTTTCCTCTGGTCGGGTCTAGTTTTCCCTTGGTCGGTGATTCTAGTCTTTCCTTTGGTCGGGTCTAGTTGTTTCCCTGGTCGGATAGTTTCCCCTGTGGTCGGGTCTAGTTTTTTCCCTGGTCGCATCGAATGTTCCTCTGGTCGGGTCTAGTTTTCCCCTGGACGGGTCTAGTGTTTCCGTTACTGGTCGAGTTTTCTCTAGTCGGGTCCAGTTTTTCCCTGGTCGGGTCTAGTTGCCCCCTGGTCGGGTTTAGTTTTTCCTTTGGTCGGGTCTAGTTTTTCCTTGGTCGCGTCTAGGTTTCCCCTGGTCGGGCCTAGTTTTTCCCCCGGTCGGATCTAGTTTTTCCCCGGCCACGATGTCGGTGGCCATGGCGTCGCTGATTGCGCTGATGACGTCGGTGGTCATGATGACGACTACGATGGCGGCGATGACGACGACTAGTTTTTCCGCTCGCAAGTGTCGCGGCGCCAGCTGCCGGGACGCCGCCCTGGCCTCAGAGGGCGCGCCAGAGGCGGCGTCACGGGCACGCCAGAGGCAGCGAGTCGGCCACGCCAGAGGCAGCGTCTCGGGCAACCATCTCCTAGCGAAGGCATTCCCAAGGGTTGCTCTTGTTCTGCCCGCTTCCTGAGGGCGGTGAATTGTCGGGGCACGCCAGAGGCAGCGCATTCTGGCCGCTTCCTGAGGCCGCTTCCTGAGGGCGGTCAGTTGGCGAACACCCTTCGGCCGCTTCAGGCCGCCCCCTGAGACCACTTCGCGTCGGGGCGCGCTCGCCGCGGCGGGGCGCGCCAGAGGCAGCGCCTGCGTCCACTTCGCCCATGGCGGGGAGCCCCTCGCCCTCGACCCGGGCGACCTTCCTCGGGGGCGAGGCTGAGTCTGGGTTGAAGACCTCTGGCGCCGAGGTCCGAGTCGCGATCGCCTGGGCCTCGGGCACGAACTCGACCTCGGCGGCGATGGTCAGCCTTGGGTGCTACTCTCCTTTCTCTTTGCTCGTCCTCGACTCCGTCTTCCCCTCCTCCCCCCCCGCCCCCCTCTCCTCCTCGCCCCCCACTCCCCCCCCCCGCCTGCCCCTCTCCCCCCTCCTCCTCCTCCTCATCCTCCTCCTCCCCCTCGCCGCGCCCGCCCTGTCGGCAGTGGGCGTCGTCGGCGCCCCCCTCTTCTACCTCCCCTTCCGTCGACCCCTCCTTCCCCCTCCGCCCCCCCCCTTCTCTCCCACTTCTTCCCCCTTCTACTGCTGCTGCCCCCCTCCTGTCACCTATCTGTCACCGCCCTCCTCTCTCTTTGGAAGAATGCCCAGGATGGCCTGCTCGGGCTCTGCATGGAGAGGCTGCTGAAAGAACTCGCAGCCTTCCGCCCATCCTCGGCAGCGGAGCGGAGAGCGGGCGAGGCTCGATCAATCTGGCTGCCCCCTGCCCCAGGCGGAGAAGCGACGGCGCGCCAATCGCTTTTCCGCCTCCGCGCTCTCGGCACGACGGGGGGGAGGGGCAAGGGCGAGGCCGGCTGGCTGGGCAGCAAAAGCCGACTGGACGATGGGCAGCCAGATTGAGCGACCCCCCCCGCCCTCTTCTCCACGCTGAGCTATCCTCGAGCGACATGAACAGCGACACGTCCGAGAGGCCCATGGAGTCGCCGTCGCCCTCAGTCTCGTGCAACGGCGGGCCGCCCTTGAACTGAGACGGGGAGGCCGGCTCCAACCGCGGAGCCTTGTTCGCCGGCTTGTTCGCCGGGGGCGCTGGGGATCGGACCTTCGCCAGGTGGGCCAGTCGCATCTTCCGCAGGTGGCCTGCTATCGTCGGCGGCGAAGACTGACTGTCAGAGGACCCGCTGCTATCGTCGGTGGCTGCCCGCTTCTTGCGAATCATCCGAGGACTCCCGGGCGTCGCCATCTGGGGCGCGCCAGAGGCAACTCGCGGAGGGCGCGAGGGAAACGGGGGGCGACGCAGACGCGGCCGCGCGACGTTCCTTCCCGCACAGGCCGCCCCACACTCGGAGCAAGCCTACTCCCTGGAGCCTGGGCGGGCAGGGGGCCTGCGAGGAACGAGGGATGGGAGCGTCGCGCCCGCAGCGGCTTCGCCCCCCAAGTTCCCCTTGGCGGCGGCGAAGCGGGGCTCGCTGACCCCGCTGGTTTTTGGGCCACGCGGCTGTCCGAGCGAGGAAGTGGGCGAGGGGGTTGGCGAGAGCGACAGAGAGATTGATGGAGAGAGAGGTAGGAAGGTAGGGGAATGGTGAATCTGGCTCAGGCCAGGCCGCCTCTGGCCCCGCGGGCCCGGGTTTAGTTTTCCCCGACCAGGGAAAAACTAAACCCGACCATGGGAAAAACTAGACCCGACCAGAGAAAACTCGACCAGACCCAAAAAAAACTAAACCCGACCAAGGGAAAACGAAACCCGATCAAGGAAAAACTAAACCCGACCAAAGAAAAACTACACCTGACCACAGGAAAAACTAGACCCGACCAAGGGAAAACTACACCCGACCAGGGAAAAAGTAGACCCGACCAAAGAAAAACTAGACCCGACCAAAGGAAAAACTAGACCCGACCTTAGGAAAACTAACCCCGACCAGGGGAAAACTAGACCCGACCAGAAAAAAACTAGACCCGACCAAAGGGACAACTAAGACCCGACCAGGGGAAAACCAGACCCGACCAAAGAAAAACTAGACCCGACCAAAAGAAAAACTAGACCCGACCAAGGGAAAACTAAACCCGACCGGAGGAAAAGTAGGCCCGACCACGGAAACAACTAGACCCGACCAAAGGAAAAACTAAACCCGACCAAGGGAAAACTAGACCCGACCAGAGGAAAATTAGACCCGATCAGGGAAAAACTAGACCCGACCAGAGGAAAAACTAGACCCGACCAAGGGAAAACTAAACCCGACCAAGGAAAAACTAGACCCGACCAAGGAAAAACTAGACCAGACCAAAGAAAAACTAAACCTGACCAAAGGAAGAACTAGACCCGACCAGGGGAAAACAAGACCCGACCAGGGAAAAAACTAAACCCGACCAAAGAAAAACTAAACCCGACCAAAGGAACAGCCAGACCCGACCAAGGGGAAAACTAGACCCGACCAAGGAAAAATTAAACCTGACCAAAGAAAAACTAGACCCGACCAAAAGAAAAACTAGACCCGACCAAAGGAAAAACTCGGCCCGACCATGAGAAAACTAAGCGCGACCACAGGAAAACTGAGCAGGACACGCGGGACACGGCAACCAATACCATGAGAACATGACGGAACAGAACCACAAATGGCATGACTGCGCCGATGGCGATGACGACGGCGACATCGCGACCGCCGCGACCTGCGGCGATGGCAGCGGCGGGTGCGACATCTTTATTTCCGAGCCGAGCGCTGCCGCAGAATTCGCGCCTCAGACTCAGAAGAGCCGCCGCCGCCGACAGCCGCAGGGCCTACATTACTGTCGCGCGCCGCCGCAGAACTCGCCCTCAGAACCGATGCCACTGGGCCCCTCTCGGAAACGAATGCTCGAGCGACCTCTCACGCGGCAGCGGGCGCGCCAGAGGCAGCGTCGTGGCACGCCAGAGGCAGTGTGTCAAATGCCCACCTACTCGTCGTCCGAGCTCGCGCCATCCCCCTCCTCCCCCTCATCCTCGCCGTCCCTGGCCACTGGCATCAACAGACGTTTCGCGTCCATCATGGTTCCGCTGAAATACTTGCTGGCTTTCTCGACGAACTCGGTGTCGCCGCCCAAGTGCTCCGCGTACCCCTCCTCGTGACCCGCCTTGTACATCACGCACATGTCCACGATGGAATCGAGCCAGTCCCGGCGCGCATCGTTGGCAGCGATGCCTTCGCACTCAATTGCGCCAGAGGCAGCAACAGCCAAAGCGCCAGAACCTGGAGTGAAGTCCACGACGCGGGTCACTTCGTGGTGCTCCACGATAGTCTGCCACAAGCTGAGCGGCCTCACCTCGGCGTGCGAGAACGGGTGGCCCTTCGAGCCGATGTCTCCCTGCAGGCGCGGTTGCCCCCCGTCAACGCTAGCGCAAGATGAAGCCCCCAAGATGCCCATCTTCGTCTCGTGGCCCATGCGAGGGAGCTCGGAGAAACGCCGCATTGGGATACCGCTGCATGACGCGTCTGCGGTCGAGGACTCGCCGCACGCGTTGAACTCCGCACGGTGCACCACTTCCCGCGGCGGGCCCTTGAGTGGCATCGAGAAAATGGCCGTCTCCCTGTTGTTATTCGTGTAGCTCGACGCCCTGGCCGCGGACCGCGGGCCTACCTTCTTCGCCGGTAGCTCGCGCACGAACCAGCACTCGACGCACGCGCGGGTGCCTCCTGACTCCAACTTCGCATCGAAGGACTCAATTACCCTGCAGTTCGCGCGGCTCCTGCCGTCGAGGAAGATGAGGCCATCATCCTTCTGCCTCTTCTGCAAGATGAACTCGATGACGCGCTTGAACTTCGCCTCGTCACACGCCATCTGCTCGTTCATCCTCGCCTTGGCGCCTTGCTCGACGACGTTGGGCGGGAACAAGTCCGCTGAGAGGATGAACGCGCGAACGTCGTTCTTCTTCCTCCCGAAGCGGCGCCCGAGGCTGAGCGCACCCCGCCAGCCCAGCATCTGCGCCACTGCGTACTCCGCGCCAGAGGCACCGCCGACAGACGGCAAACTGACGAACTTCACAGTTTTCCTGCGGAGCTGCTTGAGCTGCTCCTGGAGCTTCTGGAGCTCTGCCTTTTGCTCGCCCCCGAGCTCGGACATCCCCAACAAGCCGAAATTTGCACCCAGATCGGGGTCGGCGGGGATCGGCCCGCCCGCGCACGCGGCCACGAAGGCGCGGTGTTTGGCACCAACGCCCTGGCTGGTCTCGGTGAGGCACGCGTGCCAGACGAACCCAGTGGCGCCGTTCTGCAACTCCTGCTGGGCAAGCTCGGCAATTTCGTCGTCGAAAGCGCTCGACCACAGAGGCCACGCGACGTCGATCGTCGCCTTCGTCTTGACATCCACGGCGTTCCGATGCTCAGCCACGGGGAGCGCAAACGATGTCTCCACCCCGTCGGCGCCGCCGCCTGAGTCGGACGCGCGGTGCGAAGCCGCGAGCCCATCCGCGCCAGAGGCAGCGAACTTCTGGAGGATGTGGAGAGGCGTCTTAAATGCCGCCACGTCGCGCCCCACTTCCTTGTTCATGCGAAACGCCTCGTGGAAGATGTACTCGACGAGCTCCTTTTTCTTGAAGAGCGCGTGGAGCACCCCTGGCGTCTTCCCATCGCGCCCGACGACCCGGTTCACGACCAGTTCCTCGCCCTTCGGGGCGTCGCCCGCCAAGCGGGCCACGCGGAAACTGTTCACGATGAAAACGAGCAATTCCCTGGCCTTGGCGTCAGAACCAGCCCTCGCGGAGCGGGCGAAGCCGATCCTCATGAGAAGCGCAGGGTCGCGAAGTTCTGGAAAATACACTTCGGCCAGCGCGAAAAGCCGAACTGCAGGCACCGTCGAGGACGAAAGGGCGCAGACCTTTCAGCAACGCGGCGGTCGCAGCGGCGCGCGCTTTTCCTTTGAACTGGAGGCCGTAGGCCTTCAGCACAGCCTCTAGCTTCGACGCCGGTTCCTGTTCGGCGAAACAGTTCCCCACGCCGGTCAAGCGGCACGTTTTTTTCTTCGAACCGCCAGGAGGACTCAGCGCCAGAGGCAGCATACGCAGAGAACATCGTCTCTGAAAATGCCAGAGCGGCCAAGCGGGTCGCGTCGCTATCAGGCAGCAAGCGCATCCTGATGGGCACGGACAGCGCGGCATTGAACAGATGCCACACGCGGTCTTCGTTGGACTGCTGGAGCGCCTCGCCCATAGCAGCACACCACGTGACGACCACCGCGCGCCCCGCGAGCATGGCCAGAGCCTCTGTCAAGCAAACTCCAGGCTTGTTAGGCTCAAGCCGCCGGGCGACCTTGACGTCGACCACCAAGGCGGGGATAGGCACGTCGAAGGAGAGGCGCCGCGAGGGCGCGCGCTTGGAGGAGAGGGAGCACGCCTCCTCCGACCACACGCCCATGGCACCCTCGAGCTGGCTCACGGCGACGTCGTCGATGTCCGAGCAAATCGGGCCCAACATCCACACCGCCCCCGCTGCCTCGCACTCCTCGGCGCGGGAGAAGCTCGCAACCAGGTCGTCGTAGTCCATGACCTCGCGAAACGAACTGAGGTTTGCGCCAGAGGCGGCATCAGTGATGGCCAACGGCGGAATCAAAGAACACTTGGCGGGCACCGCGAAGGACACCTCGCGCTTGCGCTGCCCCAGGAAGCTGAGCAAACTATGGTCGACGTGGTGCTTCACTTGGCGCACCCACTCCTTGACGTGACCCTGCTGCATCGACGCGTGGTCCGTCTCGAGGAGCTGCGCGATGCACAGGGCCGACGGCGCGCCAGAGGCAGCGGCGGGCGGGGCGCCAGAGGCAGCGGCGGGCGGCGCGCCAAAGGCAGCGGCTGGTGAGGCCGCCGCGGCCGCCGCCTTCTTCGCAGGCGACGGGGTCCCCGCGTCACCTGCCCTCTTGCCCATGGCGGCTGCTGGTGGTTTGGGGGGAGCGCGAAAAACAAAAGCGAGCTACTCGCGTCCGAAAGCCGAAACCGCTGTGGATGATGATGATGGTGATGATGACGATGATGATGATGCTGATGACAATGATGGTGATGACGATGATGGCGATGGTGATCATGATGATGGTGACGACGATGATGACAACTACTGGTTGCGTGATGACGGTGATGATGCTAACGACGGCAAGGATGATGATGTTAGCGACGCTGCAAATCCTTAATATGATGCCCCCCCGTGGTGGACCACCCAGTACTACTACTACTACTACTACTACTACTACTACTACTACTACTACTACTACTACTACTACTACTACTACTACTACTACTACTACTACTACTACTACTACTACTACTACTACTACTACTACTACTACTACGACGACGACACGACGACGACGACGACTTACTACTTACTACTACTACTACTACTACTACTACTACTACTACTACTACTACTACTACTACTACACTACTACTACTACTACGACGACGACGACGACTACTACTACTACTACTACTACTACTACTACTACTACTACTACTACTACTACTACTACGACTACGACTACGACTACTACTACACTACTACTACTACTACTACTACTACACTACTACGACTACGACTACGACTACGACTACGACTACTACTACTACTACTACTACTACTACTACTACTACTACTACTACTACTACTACTACTACTACTGCTACTACTACTACTACTACTACTACTCCTACTGCTACTAGTCCTACTCCTGGTCATACTCCGAGTCCTACTCCTACTCCTATTCCCACTACTACTCGCATTTCATACCGCTTCCCCCGGCTTATAGCCGCCCTATCCAGGACCTCCCATCCCAACCTGCAAGTTAACGATACAAAATAAACGTTGTTCCTCTCAACGTGGACGTTTTGTCGCGCACGCCGATAATCCTTTGCAAAAAAATGCACTCGCGCGCGTTATGTCACAATCCTACCAAAGACAAGGTTTGCAAGCATCTCAACATGAAAACCTTCAGAAAGTTTCAGAAGTCACCTCCCGCGCGCCTCTGCTGAAATCATCATCAGAAAACCAAATGGTTCCCCTGATGCCGTGAGAAAGACAGCGGTATCATCACGCCGCGCGGTGAACTCGCGATGCTCTGTCATGTACCCAGGGCGCGAATCCTGTGCAAAAAAACACGCGGGCGACATGCGCGCGGGTCGCCGCGAGCGCATGTCCAAATCTTTCCAGAGTCGTCGCCATCATCGGCACCGTCGATGGCCGTGCCGTCGTTGTCGCCATCATCGCGGGTCACCGCCTTCCTCATCATGTCGCCACCGTGGCCGGCCGACGTCATCATGCAATCGCGCCCGCCCGAGTCACCGACCTGCACCGAAGTGCCCGCGCGCTGGCGCGGCCTTTGAGACGCGTTGGGTCAGTTCCCATCGGCCACCGCAGTCGTGGCCGCAAGAATTCTGCCATACAAACTGGCCAATCTGCGCGTGCGATGCGTTTTGCCAGCCAAGTTGCCTGGGGCTTCCTGGAGCTTCCTGGACCTCGTGGGGCTTCCTGGAGGGGCTCCTGGCGTCTCCTGGGCCTTCCTGGGGCCTCCTGGGGAAGGACTCGCTGGAGCCTTCAGGGGACTCCTGGGGACTCCTGGGGCCTCCTGGGGCTCCCTGGGGTGTCCTGAAACATCCTGGGGCTTACTGGGGACCTCTTGAAGTTTCCTGGGTCCTCTTGGGGCATCCTCGACTCGCGCTGAAATGCCCGCGCAGCCTTGGGGACGAGTTGGGAGTTCCCATCGGTAACCGCTGTCGCGGCCGCATCAGCTTTGCCAAACCAGCTCGCCGATGTGATCTCGGCTCCCAGTTGTGCCAGCACTGTTTCTTATGTTGTGGGAGGGCGGGTGGGAATGGGCATGCCATGCATGTCTCGTTCGAGCTGACTAACTTGACTCCTACTCCTACTCCTAATCCTAGTCCTACTCATACTCCCACTCCTACTCCTACTCCTTCTCCTACTCCTGCTCATACTCATATTCCGACTCATTCTCCATTCGTTCTCCGCATAAATAACTCCGTTGTCAGGGCGGACCGGGCGTTTCGCAAGAGACTTACTCGCCATGTATGACCCTGACGCTTAGAAATTGGCAACATCTTCACAGATGGAACACGTCACGTTTTCATAATGTGGTTCTCGCCTTCGCGCCGCGTGCATTCGTTTTAAACATCCAAGAGCTTCACGGATTGAAGGCAGTTCCGTTTCAAATTGCGGCTGCCGCCTTAGCGCCGCGAACATTCTTTTCACGGATCCCCATAATCAGCGTGCCAGAAATTCAGTTTTGAAAGGATTATGTGTGCAACAAGTACGTTGATTCGCGGTGTTGCAGTCCCAAGAATGCCATTCTGGCACGATTCTGAATCGTCAAGACGCAGCAGTCAGGTTGATCCGTGGCGTTGGCATCCCGAGAACACTGTTTTGGCATGCTTCAAGGTTTTCAAACGGTTGTCTTCCAACGAAGTATTTCCCTCTGCGAAAATGAACCATTGCAGGGGGCTATGGAGAGCAAGCTTGGAGGGAGGGTTTGTTCCAACATCGTTGATGAACTCATGGGTTTACACTAGTCCTCCTCCTCCTCCTCCCCCTCCTCCTCCTTCTCCTCCTCCTCATCATCATCATCCTCCTCCCTATGGAGCCGAGAGAAGGCCAGACCACCCCCGCCATCTGCCGCGCGGTCCGCCGATCGAGCCGCGGTCGCGCCGCGGGCCGGCACTCTGGGACCAGCGCGCTCCCTCGCGGAAGCCACGTCCGCGGAAGCGCCCGCGGACTCCCGGCAGCGGCCGGTCCCTCCCCCCTCCCTGGACGGCCAGCACGCCGTCGGCGGCCAGCGCGCCGCGGCAGCCCACTGGCGCCGCGGCACCAGGCGTCAGCCCAGGACCATCGCGCTTGCCGAACTCACGTCGGAGGGAGGCGCGGTCAGCTTCCAAGCTCCGACTGGGGCGGCCAACACGCCCGCGGCCGGCCAGCGTGCGGCGGCCCCAGGAGGCGCCGGGCCCGCGGCCGCGGCGTGGCGCCTCGGCCGTCAGCCCGGGATTAGCGCGCTCGCGTAGGCCACGTCCGTGGAGGCGTGCGCGGACTCCCAGCAGGGGCCAGGCTGCCCCAGGGCGGCGACCACGCCAGAGGCCGCCAGCGCGCGGCAGCCCAGGGGCGCCGGGCCCGAGGGCACCCCGAGGGGCTGCAGCGCGGCGAGCACCTCTGACAGCAGGTTCTCCTCCAGGCCGACGATCGCCAGCAGCACCAGCGTCCCGGGTTCAACGCTGCTCGCCCAGATGCTGACGGGCGACACATCGCTGCCCTCCAGGGCCAGCGGTCTCAGGGTCTGGCCCGGCACCTTCACGAAGACGCCTCGCACCTCCTCGCCGCAGTCCGGCATGTAGGCCTCGCTCTCGGCGCCCAGACTGGCCACCACGAAGCGCGCGCCATCGCGCGAGCCGCAGGCGATGGAGGCCTTGCTGGCCTAGAGGAACAGAAAAACTATATAAAATCCGCCGGCCCCCTTGTGGGGCCACCAGGCTGTAGGACCAAGGTTGCTGTTCCCTGCACCAGTTCCAGTTTCCAGTTTCCACTACGGTTCTTCTTCTTCTTGCTGCTTACTGTTCCTTGTTGATGGACCGCGTGAGGGGGGAGCCGAGAAGGAACCTAGCAACCACGCCCGAATCCCATTGTCTGAATTCCTGGGGAAGCCAGAAACCCTCGGAAATTACACAATAATCGCGAGTCCGAAGCCATACACCCTCGTCAATTACGCAATGTTCGCGTCTCCGAAGCCATAAACCTGCGTAAATTACACTATAGCTGCGAGCCCGAGGCCACAAACCCTCGTAAATTACAAGCTATTCGCGTATCCAACGCCATAAACCCTCGAAATACAACACCGAATTCAACAATATCACCAGAATCTCAATTTGTCTTGCCGATTACTCACCGTCTTCGCGTGAAGTTCCGACGCTGCTTCACGACGGCGCCAAGGCCTCATGCTTTCGCTCTTGAATTGCCCATTATCCGAGAGAGGGGGCCGGCGGCAGGGGGCGAAGCCCTTACGGATATAAACTTTTACACGTCCGCCGAGACTTCTTGGATCCGCGCTGGACCCCTCCCTGGCGCGCGGAGCGTGCCAGGGGCGGCGCTGGTGGCGCAGCCAAGGGGCCCCCACGCAGATCCGACAACTTTCTGCGGACCTCCGACTGACAGTTCATGTGCATGCAGATTTTCTTCTCCGATGGCCTCGACAAGCGCACCGTCCGCGCCGGCCGAGCCGCTCGCTCGCTCGCGGAGCCAGCCGCCCTCCCGACGCCACTGCAGGCGCCCGAGGCCGCTGGGCTGCCGTGCCCCGGCGGGCGTCGGGCCGGCCCTGCCCTGCCCCGCCGCGGGCCGCGGCTCCGCGGCCTCGGGCGGCCTGGCGAACCAGGAGGCCTCTGCGGGCCCCCCAAAGGAAAGCACCGCCACCTCAAGCGGCTCCCCCTGCGGGGCTGGGGGCAGGGGGCCCCCCACGGACACAGCGAGCCCGGGGGCCCCCAGGAGGCCCCAGGAGGCCCCCGAGAGGCCCCCAACAAGAGGCCTCAGGAGGCCCCATGAGGCCTCCAAGAGGCCTCCAAGAGGCCTCCCAAGAGGACCCCAAGAGGCAAACATCCCAACGAACAACCTAGAGGCCCATGACCCACAACCCAGGCACGGTGGCGGGATGAGCCGAAGGCCATTAGACCTGGCCCGGCACAGAAACGGAAAGAGCGCTTCAGAAACAGAAACCGAAATTACTCACACCACCGTTCGTACTGGGAGCCTTGGCGTTGAGAGCTTGTTACGTCATCCCTCGCTCTTGGGAGCCTTGGTGTTCAGAGATTGTTGCGTTGCCGCCCGTTCCTGAGCCTTGGCTGGGCCTTGGTGTCAGGAACTTGTTACGTCACCGCTCTATGCTGGGAGCCTTGGTCTTATCAGCTTGTTAACGTCACCGTTCGCTCTTGGGAGCCTTGGTGTGAAGAGCTTTTTGCGTTACCGATCGCTCTCTATTTGGCGTCTCTGGGCCTTCTTGGGAGTCCTATTGGACCCCTTGTCGGGCCCTTTTGGAGGCCTCTTGGGAACCTCTTGGGGGCCTCTTGGGGCTTCTTCGGGGGCTCTGGGGGCCTCCTGGGAGCTTCTTGGGGCGAAAGGCTAAACTTTTCGGTTCGTGGTCCCCCTCTCGGGGCCGTCTTGGGGCCCTCTTGGGCCGTCTTGGGCGCCTCTTGGGCCGTCTTCGCGCCCTCTTGGGCCGTTTTGGGGGCCTCTTGGGAGCCTATTGGGCCGTCTTGGGGCGGTCTTGGGGGCCTCTTGGAGCGTCTTCAACGCAGTGAAAGCCGGAAAGCCTTGTATGCTAAAAATGTACCTTTTCCCATAGGAAATCAATGATTTTCGCCTCCCGGTGGCCTCTTGGGACGCCTCTTGGGGGCCTGTTGGGGCTTCTTGGGGGGCTGTGGGGGCCTCCGCGGAGCGTCTTGGGGCGACAGGCTAGACTTGTCGGTTCGTGGTTCCCCCTCTTGGGGCCGTCTTGGGCCCTCTTGGGCCGTCTTGGGCGCCTCTTGGGCCGTCTTGGCGACCGGGGCCTCTTGGGCCGTCGTCAACGCCGTGAAAGACGAAAAGCCGCATATGCTAAAAATGTACGTTTTCCTTTTGGAAATCTATGATTTGGCCTCCTGATGGCCTCGTGAGACGCGTCCTGGGGGCCTCTTGGGGCTTCTTGGGGGGCTGTGGGGGCCGGCTGTGGGGGCCTCCCGGGAGCGTCTTGGAGCGACAGGCTAGACTTGTCGGTTCGTGGTCCCCCTCTTGGGGCCGTCTGGGGGCCCTCTTGGGCCGTCTTGGGCGCCTCTTGGGCCGTCTGGGGGCCCTCTTGGGCCGTTTTGGGGGCCTCTTGGGTGCCTCTTGGGCAAGCGCACATGCTAAAAATATACGCTTTCCTCTGGACAATCGATGATTTCGGCCTCTTAGGGCCCTCTTGGGACGCCCCTTGGGCGCCTCTTGGGGGCCTCTTGGGGGCCTCTTGGGCCGTTTTGGGCGGTCTTGGGCTCTCTTGGAGCGCTCTTGGGCCGTCTTGGGGGGGAACCCGAAAAACATGCAAAAACCCGAGGGAGAACCCGAAAACGGCCATTAACACGCAAATGCGCACGCTCCCCCCCTCCCCTGGAACCCCTCCCTTTAGGGCTTCGCCCACACCAGAACGTCATCACTCGTACCTCGCTCTTTCCGTTACCTGGGCCGGCACGGAAACGGAAAGAGCGCTTCAACAAACAACTTGACCGAACTTACTCACACCACCGTTCGTACTGGGAGCCTTGGCGTTGAGAGCTTGTTACGTCACCCCGCGCTCTTGGGAGCCTTGGTGTTCAGAGATGGTTGCGTTGCCGCCCGTTCCTGAGCCTTGGCTGGGCCTTGGTGTCAGGAACTTGTTACGTCATCACTCCCTGCTGGGAGCCTTGGTCTTATCAGCTTGTTTACGTCACCGTTCGCTCTTGGGAGCCTTGGTGTGAAGAGCATTTGCGTTACCGATCGCTCTGTATTTGGCTTCTCTGAGCCTTCTTGGGAGTCCTATTGTGGCCCTTTTTGATGCCCTTTTTGAGCCCCTTTGGGGGCCTCTTGGGGGCCTCTTGGGGCTTCTTCGGGGTCTGTGGGGCCCTCCCGGGAGCGTCTTGGGGCGAAAGGCTAGACTTGTCGGTTCGTGGTCCCCCTTCTGGGGCCGTCTTGGGGCCCTCTTGGGCCGTCTTGGGCGCCTCTTGGGCCGTCTTGGCGCCCTCTTGGGCCGTTTTGGGGCTCTCTCGGAGTCCCCTGGGCCAGTCTTGGGGCCCACTCGGGACCTCTTGGGGCCTCTCAGGGCATCTCTTGGGCAGCCGTGGGAAGTGTTTTTGGGAAGCCCTCTCAAAAAACATTTGCTGGACAGCATTCCTGAGCTCTCTTGGGGCTCTCTTGGGCCGTCTTGGGCGCCTCTTGGGCCGTCTGGGGGCCCTCTTGGGCCGTTTTGGGGGCCTCTTGGGAGCCTCTTGGGCCGTCTTGGGGCGGTCTTGGGGGCCTCTTGGGCCGTCGTCTACGCCGTGGAAGGCGAAAAGCCGTATACGCTAAAAATGTACGTCTTCCTTTGGGAAATCCATGATTTTGGCCTCTTGGGACGCCCCTTGGGCGCCTCTTGGGGACCTCTTGGGGGCCTCTTGGGCCGTCTTTGGCGGTCTTGGGCTCTCTTGGAGCGCTCTTGGGCTGTTGTGAAAGAGAACTTCGGCCGTCTGGAGAGAGAATCCGAAAAACATACGAAAACCCTAGGGAAAACCCCCAAAACTGCCATTAGCGCCAATTCCCGCACGCTTCCCCCCTCCCCTGAAACCCCTCCCTTTAGGGCTTCGCCCCACCTGAACGTCATCACTCGTACCTCGCTCTTTCCGTTACCTGGCCTGGCACAGAAACGGAAAGAGCGCTGCAGCAACAGAAACCGAAATTACGCACACCACCGTTCGTACTGGGAGCCTTGGCGTTGAGAGCTTGTTACGTCACCCCTCGCTCTTGGGAGCCTTGGGGTTCAAAGATGGTTGCGTTGCCGCACGTTCCTGAGCCTTGGCTGGGCCTTGGTGTCAGGAACTTGTTACGTCACCGCTGTCTGCTGGGAGCCTTGGTCTTATCAGCTTGTTTACGTCTTGGGCCGTCTCGGGCGCCTCTTGGGCCGTCTTGGCGCCCTCTTGGGCCGTTCTGGGGCCCTCTTGGGAGCCTCTTGGGCCGTCTTGGGGCGGTCTTGGGGGCCCCTTGGGCCGTCGTCAACGCCGTTAAAGACGAAAAGCCGTATATGCTAAAAATGTACGCTTTCCTCTTGGAAATCTATGATTTGGCCTCCTGATGGCCTCGTGGGACGCGTCCTGGGGGCCTCTTGGGGCTTCTTGGGGGGCTGTGGGGGCCTCCGCGGAGCGTCTTGGGGCGACAGGCTAGACTTGTCGGTTCGTGGTCTCCCTCTTGGGCGCCTCTTGGGCCGTCTGGGGGCCCTCTTGGGCCGTTTTGGGGGCCTCTTGGGTGCCTCTTGGGCCGTCTTGGGGCGGTCTTGGGGGCCTCTTGGGCCGTCGTCAACGCCGTGAAAGGCGAAAAGCCGTAGATGCTAAAAATATACGTTATCCTTTTGAAAATCGATGATTTCGGCCTCTTGGGGCCCTCTTGGGACGCCCCTTGGGCGCTTCTTGGGGGCCTCTTGGGGGCCTCTTGGGCCGTCTTGGACGGTTTTGGGCTCTCTAGGAGCGCTCTTGGGCCGTCTTGGGGGGGAACCCGAAAAACATGCAAAAACCCTAGGGAAAACCCGAAAACGGCAATTAACATGCAAATGCGCACGCTACCCCCCTCCCCTGGAACCCTTCCCTTTAGGGCTTCGCCCACACCAAAACGTCATCACTCGTACCTCGCTCTTTCCGTGAACTGTGCCAGCACGGAAACGGAAAGAGCGCCTCAAACAAAGGAACCGCAAGACTCACACCACCGTTCGTACTGGGAGCCTTGGCGTTGAGAGCTTGTTACGTCACCCCGCGCTCTTGGGAGCCTTGGTGGTCAGAGATTGTTGCGTTGCCGCCCGTTCCTGAGCCTTGGCTGGGCCTTGGTGTCAGGAACTTGTTACGTCATCACTCCCTGCTGGGAGCCTTGGTCTTATCAGCTTGTTTACGTCACCGTTCGCCTTTGGGAGCCTTGGTGTGAAGAGCATTTTGAGTTACCGATCGCTCTGTATTTGGCTTCTCTGAGCCTTCTTGGGAGTCCTATTGCGGCCCTTCTTGAGCCCCTTTGGGAGCCTCTTGGGGGCCTCTTGGGGCTTCTTCGGGGTCTGTGGGGGCCTCCTGGGAGCGTCTTGGGGCGACAGGCTAGACTTGTCGGTTCGTGGTCCCCCTCCTGGGGCCGTCTTGGGGCCCTCTTGGGCCGTCTTGGGCGCCTCTTGGGCCGTCTTGGCGCCCTCTTGAGCCGTTTTGGGGGCCTCTTGGGAGCCTCTGGGGCCCGGGCGGTCTTGGGGGCCTCTTGGACCGTCTTCAACGCCGTGGACGCCGAAAAGCCGTGTATGCAAAAAATGCACCTTTTACTATAGCAAATCACTGATTCCGGCCTCCTGATGGCATCGTCGGACGCCTCTTCGGGGCCTCTGAGCGCTTCTTTGGGGGCTGTGGGGGCCTCCGGGAGCATCTTGGGGCGATAGGCCAAACTTTTCGGTTCGTGGTCCCCCTCTTGGGGCCGTCTGGGGGCCCTCTTGGGCCGTCTTGGGCGCCTCTTGAGCCGTCTGGGAGCCCTCTTGGGCCGTTTTGGGGGCCTCTTGGGAGCCTCTTGGGCCGTCTTGGGGCGGTCTTGGGGGCCTCTTGGGCCGTCGTCGACGCCGTGAAAGGCGAAAAGCCGTAGATGCTAAAAATCCACGCTTGCCTCCGGAAAATGTATGATTT